AGATCAGATTTGAACATGTGTTCTTTTCACAATACCACATGGCCTAATTCAGACAGCCTAAATTTTCTAGGAGAAAGAGATGTTTGTTGTTTTCAGAACCCTTGTGGTGACTGGGCTGGCAGTGAAATTCACTAGGCAACTATTTTTAATCATCAGTGAGCATAAGAATCAACTCCGGATCTTGTGGAAAGTGCAAATTCTCAGAGATTTAGAGACTGTGGATTTGTAGTTCAGCCTAGCAAGCTGCATTTCCAATAATAAGCAGCTTCACTGACTCTAGTGCCGGTTGACTGGTATCACTCCAGGGGTGCAGGGTCTCAGTGGGAGGGGTCATCCATTCCTATCCCGTTGCTTTTTTCAGATTCTTTTGGATGTTCACCCAGTAGTCATGGTCCTCTTTCTAGAACTGCAATCTGGTTCAGATATCCTGTGGCCATGCACTTCAGTGAAGGATAAAAGGCTCTCTCTCCAAGAAGGTGAAACTTGGATGGTCTCAACCAATGGTTCTCCATCTTAGATGCACATCAGAGCTCCCTGGAGTGTACACATGTTCACACACACAAACACACACATATGTACAAGAAGACCCCACAGGAACCCAATTAAATCAACATCTAAGGGTAGAACCTAGACATCTGTAATTATTTTTAAAGGTCCCCAGTTTGTTGTCAGCCACAGCTGAGAATCACTGGCCCTGCCCATTTCCCTTACTGCTTGTCTTCGATGAACATTTGTTAAAATTCTAGCCCAGAAAACTGAAAAGAGGTCTTCTGGGAGGTGGGGCTTTGGGGAAATCCTTTTTAAAAAAAGATGTGAGGATAGGACAAGGCATCTTTCTTCTTTTTGACCTTTGTATTTTGTGATATAAAGAAGTGATGCCTGGAGTTATTTCAGCTGTCTTGGGATCATGAAGGAGCCAGCCTAATAGCCACAGGCTAAGGATGGCAGAAAAGAAAGGAAAAATAAACTGGGAACTTGGTGGTATCTTTGGGCAAGTTAAGTAAACAACTCTGGAATCACCTTACCCTGAGCATACTTCTTATGAGAGGTGATTAATGTTTTTTGATTTTTTTTTTTTTTTTTTTTGAGACAGAGTCACTGTCACCCAGCTGGAGTGCAGTGCTACAATCTTGGCTCACTGCAACTTCCATCTCCCAGGTTCAAGCAATTCTCCTGCCTCAGCCTCCCAAGTAGCTGGGATTACAGGTATGCACCACCAGGCCCAGCTAACTTTTGTATTTTTAGTAGAGACAGGTTTTCACCATGTTGGCCAGGCTGGCCTCAAACTCCTGACCTCAAATGATCCACCGGTCTTGGCCTCCCAAAATACTGGGATTACAAGCATGAGCCACTGTACCTGGTCGATTAATATTCTTAATTTAAGACATGTTAAGTTGGATATTGTTATTTGCAGCCAAAATAATCTCAACAGCTATAGCTACTAAGGAATTTCACCTGCTTACTGCCTGTGCTGTTTCTAAGAGGGGTGTAAGTACATCAGTAGCTGGGGCCCACAGGGCAAGGTGGCCTAGAGTCAGTCTTGATGGCCAAAAAACTTTAAGTGCAGTGAGCCCTGGGCATTGCCATTAAAAAGCTAGTTGCCTTGAGAGTTATTCCAATAATAACTGTGACATTTATTATGCATTCACTGCAAGCCAGGTACTATACAATGCAAAGGGCTATAGGTATGCCATCTCATTCCATCCTTAAAATTACCCAGGGAAATACGTATTATTATCCATGTTTTACACATTAGGAAACTGAGAACCAGAAAAGCTAAGGAATTTGGCCAAGGTCACATAGCGCATGAGTGGCAGAGACAGGATGCTAACCCCAATCTGTCAAAACTCTCAAGATATTTCTTCTGGTGACCATGTTGTTTCATTTCCCTATGACTTATGAAGCTCTGTGGGTTCACACATTCACTGAAGTGCTTAACTATGCGAATAAAACGCATTCATCATTGTAATCCCTAATGGAGATAACAGAAATATTAGCAAAGACCGAAGTGAAAACAGTTCAAGTGAGGCCTAATTTTTTACAAGACCAAGGAATGATTTACTTTATCACAGGAAAGAATTTTATTTGACAAATGCATACTTTATCATCTCTGGTCTGCTGAAAATGTAAGCTTACATTTTCCTAGCCATAAAATTAAAATAATTTTGGCTCCAAAAACTCAAAAGAAATCCCATTCTACGTTCAGGTCTTTCTCTGGAAATTTGAAGGCTAGATAGGGAGCCTTAAAAAAAATGCCATTTCTGTCAGGCAGGACAGACTCTAGAGTGAGTAAGATAAGGGTTCAAAACCTGGTTCTACCTCTTGCTGACCATGTAACCTTGGACACGACATTTCACTCCTTCAAGTCTCAGCTTCCTGATCTGTAAGATGAGAATGACAACTCTCATTTCAGGCCTGGGATGAGATTTAAATCAGACACCCTGTGTAAGTTGCCTGGCAAAGCAGGTCTGCTGTTATGAAAATACATACAAAGGGCCCAGCATGAAACCTGGTACGTAGCAGCTACTCGATAAATCTTTCAGCCCTTCCCTCTATCTTCCCTCTTCTGTTCTTCATCTTCAACTGTCTTCAGGGGTGGGCCTCCAAAGACAGAACCAAAACCAAACAGGATGAGGCCCTTCTGTACTTGGTTGTGAAGGGAGTGATGAGACAGTGCCCACATCTTGGTTTGCTCAGCATTCCGGCAGCTTTCTACAGAGTCATCCCTACACCCTGACCCAACATAGAGAAGCCAGCCAATCTGCTAGTGGGCCACTTGTCAACTGGAAGACAAATTTGAGAAAAAGTCAGAGGATCCGAGTAAGGGACAGAAGAAGGGGTAGGGTGGAGTGAGAAGAAATGGTTTAGTTGGCTCAAGTGCCAAGGATCTCTGGGAAGCTGGAGAGCGATAATCTTCCACACCCAGGTTAGAGCAGATTTCAACAAGGGAGGGACTATTTCAAGGGAATCTGAACTGCTAATGAGAGAAGCAAAAGACAAGACTCAGCAAAGGATTACCTATCCACAATCAAAGGGGAGCCACAAGTTCTGTATTAGGTTGGTTAGTCAAAACTGCACTCCAAGTCCCATTTAAAAAAGCAGACAGAAGAGACCAACCATTCACATACATGTTTAGAATTGGTATGTTTTTGAGGTCCTTCCCCCTGTAATTAGAACTTCTTCTTAGCCCCATGAAGTTCTCAGGGCAGCCACCATGGTTATCATACCCATTGTATAGATTTGCAAACTGAAGCTCACTGCTGGCAATATGTTCTTGGTCAAATAATGGAAAGGTACATAAAAAGATTAGTATCTCCAGTGGTTCCTAAAAGAACCCAGAGCCCTGCATCTGGGGAGGATTCCAGGTGATTCTGATAATCAACCAGGTTTGGGGACCATTGATATCACTCAACAAACTCACCACAGAGAAAGAAACAGAGCCTGACAAAGGTGGAGGACTCTGCCCAAGATCACTCAAATTACAAGTGGCTAAGTTTAGTCCTTCAGCTTACTGTCTCCATGGTAGAGCTCTTGTCAGCTCACTCCATGGGCTGTGGGCTGTTTAGTTACTCATTACAACCTACAATGTAGATAGATTTCATTTATTCAATAAACCTTTATTGCGGACATCTTTGGTGCCAGACACCAGATTCTTGGCCTTAGAGAGTTCACAGTCTAAAAGAGAATGGGACAAGTAGCCTCATGGCTGCAGGATGTGACATAGTGGTGCTATCAGAGGAGGTATGATATACAAGCGAGGGGGTGTAAGAGTAGTCACTAACTTCTGCCCAGCAGCCTTCAGAGGAAGGGAGAAAAAAATCAGGAAAACAAAGGCTCCTTATATGGCAGTTTGGTTACCTTTGTTTTAATAAGCCACTTGTGTGCTGTGACTTTATACAACTCAAGTTAGAATAAACAATTTTGAATGAAAGGTTTCTAAGGATATTTACTGGGTGTAAAAGCAACAGTCTGACACTACTAAAATATGTTCAGACCAAAATAGAGGCACCAGGAAAATGTCCCTCTAGGCATCGATCTTCACTACCGTGTGGAGATCATGTCTGCGTCTGCTCACAATTACTGATGAAAGTCAGTTCTCATCAGTGCTATGTAGGAGATTAGACAGGCCAGTGCACTCACTAAACTTACATGCGGAATTTACCATTTCCTTGTTGCCAGGGTCACGGAAGTGGACACTTTCATGTGCAATTAGCAATATAAGTTAGGACAATATTTCTGAAGGGCAATCTGGCAAAATTTATGAAGATATAAGAAATTTTCAAAATGCTCTTTGAACCATCGATTCTACTTCTAGGAATTTATCCTGAGGGTAAATAAATAAAAGCAAATATGGAAAGATATACATAGGGTGTTCAACAAAGCAGTTTATAATAATAGTGAAAGCTTGGGGAAAAGGCAAATGTCCATAGACAGAATGATGAACTAAATCATCATAAAACTTTATACTTGAAAATCATTAAGACAGTCATAATGATGGACACGTATACTGAGGGATGTAGAAAAATACTTGCATCACTCAATGAAAAAAGCAAATTTCCAATTATTTACTTAATATAATGTAACTTGTATGTAAGTACAACTTCCAGATATATGTATTTACATAGAGAGAGAAACTTGGCAGATGGCTTTTAACCAAAATGTCAATAATATTGACCAGGAGAGGGGGTGTTTCTATTTTTCTGTATATTATTGTATGATATTTATATAATCAGAACAACTAATGGGATAACTTTCATTGGAGACTAAAATTTTTTTGTTCTTTATTCTTGAGCATAAAGTCTCCATTTTAGGAGACTAAAATTTTTGAAGAAATTGGTCCTAAGCAATGGGAAAATTCAACCTGATTTAATGAAATTGAATATATTCATTCTTTATTTTTATGGGCTCCTTTTCTAAATATAGACTTGTGTCATTGATTTACATATTCGGTCATGAAAACAGTTTGTTGGTTCACTTGCAACTCTGTAATAAGCACCTACTCTGAACCTGGCAGGGGGACACTACAACATGAGGTATATAACATGATGGGTTAGAAGTCAGGAAGACCTGAATTTGCATCCCTAACCTGTAACTCATGCGTTCACAACCTCAGATGGGCTATTAAACTGCTCTGAGCCTCACTTTTCTCATCTGTCAGAGATAATAAAGTACCCATGGTATTAGTTATCTGTTGCTGTGAAGCAAATTACTCCAAGACTTAGGGACTTACAACAACAATAACTTATTATCCCATAATTTCTTTGGATCTGAAATTTGGGGGCAGTTAAGCTAGTGTTTCTAGCTCTGGGTCTTTGGTGAGGCTGCAGTTACATGAAGGCCTAACTAGGGCTGTAGGATTTGCTTCCAAGCTGGCTGTTAACAAAGGACTGGCAAGTTGGTGCTGGCTGTTGGTGAAAGGTTTTCTCTCCATAGCTGCCTCCACATTGCTGCTTGAGTGTCCTCACAGCATGGTGTCTGGCTTCTCCCAGAAGGGGCAATTCAAGGGGCCAAGGAGGAAGTTGACAATGCCTTTTATGACCTTGCCATAAAAATCACACACCACATCTGTAAGTACTCTTTGGGTTGCGGGTTATCTCTGATTTAACGTGAGAGGGGATTCACAAAGGTGAATACCAGGAGGCAAGGATCACTGGAACCATCTTGAAGGCTGACTACCACATACGTGAAATGAGAAAATGCTTAAAGAGCTCAGTGTACCTATACCGCACCCATAATAAATAAGCCACAGTGATGAGATACAGTGCATATAACTGCATTCAACAAATAGGCCCCAGATTCCTGCTCTTGTCCAAAGTCCTGTTTTTCTCAGATGAGGAAACTGAGCCCAGAGAGGTTAAGTGGTTTGACTAGGAATACATGGAGTTAGTATTTGAGCTAGGAGAAAAAGCAGGTTTTCTACCTTGCCCCATTCAGGTTCTTCCCCTAGAGGAAATCTCCACAAAGATGCAGACTGAGGAATCACTTGCTACAACAAAGCGCTCACTAGAGTTGAAGATGAGCAGATGTTTTGGAAAGAAGGGTAGGGAAGCTGTTAGAGCTGATTCTGAATGTCAGGTTCAGGAATTTGTCTTCCTTTGATGGGAAAGACAATAGGGAACCACTGAGGGGGGTTTAAATGAAAAAGGGACTTAAACACAGCTGTGCATTCAGCAGATTGTGGAGGTCTCTAAAGAGAAAGCCTGTTGGAGCAGTCCAGGCATCTGAGGACACAGGCAGCAGTAGTGGGAAAGGAGAAGGGGCTGGAGAGTCACAGCATCTAGGAATCATACCCCTGTGCCACCTGTGGATTCCAGATTAAATAAGGATTAGGAGACTAAGTCAAAAGGCTTAGGTGAGGGCAGCTAAAGCGGTGGTGTACAGGCTGCGCCAGGGATGTCTGCTTCCCTCTGCCCAGCCTATAGCCCTGAGTCAACCTCAATCCACCATGTAGGAGGCATAAGGACATTCAATATGACTTGGAAAAAAGGGCATTAAAACAAATAGTCTGCACTTCTTTTGTTTCCAGCTCTCCAGCATGGAAAACTGATGATACAAAGAGCTAGACAAAATGGAATGTAGGTGGTTCTGAGCTCAGCTCAAAGGGCCCTCCTCTCCTGAAAGGCTCACTTCCCATGGGAGAGGATGCTATGTGGTGAGGGTTGTCACACTCAAGGTTTTCCCTCCAAGCCTCACCTCCTCTGTTAAATCTGTCCCCCAACTCCCCTTTAGGTAGAACTGACCTGCTGTCTGCCCTGCATACACGTACCACAGATGGATTCTCTCCTGAAACCTAGAGTGCCACAATGCCCTGCTACTAACCTGCTTCCTTCTCCAGCCCCAAACCTCCCCAAAAGTAGTAGATGCTGTGGCTCCCATGTTCCTAGGGCCTTCCTAGCCTGAACACTATGATTTTACTCTCTGAAAATGTTAGACAAATACTTTTCTCACCTAATGCATCAGCTTTACATCCAGAAACAGGTTTACAGTCACAAGGGATGTAACCTGGGTTGCAGAGAGCTGAATCCAGTCCATCCATAGGGCCCTGCTATCCACAGGGCCACCAGTATCGTGGATTTATCCCCCATTTTCCAGGACAGCAAAATGCCTTGTTTTAAAAAGAAATAGTAAGACAATTTTCTAAAAGAAGGAAATAAAGTGACTTGAGAAAGAAACACATTTTTTCTAACGGGCACAAAAGCTCTGTATAGCCTAGTCATGCTCCTATCCATATATAGCTTTTAGTTGGTCAAAGTAACTTTAAAAACTGAATCAAAGTGCCTTTAGTCAGGGCACATGCTCTCCAGTTTGTCAATCCCCACCACTCTCTATGATCTTACACTTTTAACCTCTGTTACATTTATTTATTTACCACCTAGCCCCTGAAGGCTTGTAAGTTTGCAACACTGCAACATGATACGAAACTCATAAAGCAATTCCTTCCATCTTTGGGAAGCAAATGTTTTCAAGGTTCTTTATTAGGCTGAATGAAAATCTTCCCATAGCCTCTCTCTACCCCTCCTATTTCTGGGGTACTGTAGGTCCTATAGTACAAACAGAACCTTTTTCTAAAGCACATTCTCTTACTTATTTGAAGTCTATCAACAGAGTCTGTGTGAGGCCTTCTCTTTTCCATACTAAAAATACTGTCTTCCTTCAACTATTTCCTATGACATGGAAGCCCTTTACTATAATCTGAATGTGACTTATTATCCTCTTTAAAGAGAGGCATCCATACAGGCATGGTCTAATCCTTTGCAATTCAAAGGGTAATGCAAAAGCCGGTAGCATTTGCATCACTTGGGAGCCTGTTATAAATGCATAACCTCAGACCCACCCCACACCTACTGAATCAAGATCCACAGGTGATTCATATGCACACACCTAATTAATGTAGGCTAAGATTATGCTAGCTTGTGAGAGCAATTGTGTTACAGCCAACCCTGTTTCCTGTTATTTGAAATTCCTCTTTTTTTCCCCCACACTCACTGCTAAGCTACATCTTCTTATATTAGTTTGATTGCAGCATGTAACAATCTGATTACATTTTGATGAATGACCCACATGCTTAGACTATGAATTTGTGGGCAAGACACAGATCATATTCATCTGTTTTCCTAGTGCATAAGAGGTACTAATATAAGAAGTAACCAAAAAATAAAATAACACCAAATGATAAAAAGAAAAAATTAACTCTCTGCTAAACAGTTCAAGGCATGGCTGGATCCAGGGCTCAAAGATGGTGACAGAGACTTGGATCATTGCCACTTTCCACCTCTGCTTTCTTGGCATCAGCGACATCCTTGGTAAAGCTCTCCTTCTGTGGCCTCAAGATGGCTGCCAGTGTCACTCAGAGCCACATCCTTTCTCATTCCAGTCCAGCTGGCAAAGAGTCTTCTGAAAACTTTTAGGGGAAAACATTTCTTCTTTCCTTTTTCAGAAACCTTAGCAAATGTTCCTTCCAGTTTCATTAGCTGTGATGGCATTATCAGTTCATTTCAGAGCCAACTACTGAGGCGAGGGGGTTTAATATTCTAATGGGTTTAAGCCAGTGAGGACCCACTCATGAGGAGGTAGAAGCAGTTGAAAATGGAGGGGGACGCTCTATCAGGAAATTAGGGAACTGTCGGGAGAGGCGACGTGTGTGCTGGGGAGGCAACCCATGGATGTCTACCGTAGTGTTAAACAGGTCTGCGTTTCAGTTTCCTTTGAATCTTGCAACTGTTGTTCAGGATATCCAAGATTACAGCAACCACTAGCACAGGTTACGGCCAGAAAACTTTGCTATTTTTAAATGACACACAAACTGTTATGCTCCATCACATTGTTTCAGTGACCAACATTAAAGGACCCTGGCTTACCTCCTCCTGGAATAATAAAGCAGTCACAGGAGTTCTTTGGGCCACTCCAAAAACCACTCCAGAGTGGTTGGCCACATATAATAGAGGGTGCACTTGAAAGGCAGCATCCAATGACCAGTTCTGGTTGAAAACTTTTACGCTTTTCAAAAGCTCAATAAGCAGCAGAAGTGACCACAATGTGTTTGAAACTTTATAGCATGTGTCTTCAGGAGACAAAGTGCCTAAAACTAGATGGAAAGACTTGTAATTTTTTAAATTAAAAACTGTACACAGGAGAGGTAACAAAGTAAAATAAGCATGAATCCTACATTTTTGTTTCAAAAATAAAACCCGAGGTATGGGGAAAATTGTAATATGGAATTCAGAAATCCGCTTTGGCCATATGCTGTACTGCATCTGCTTTCCTTGAGCCAAAAGGCTCTTGATGACCAGTCATGCTTAGCTGAGAGAGACATAAAGCCAAAGAGACTGAAGGCAGGCAAGAGGGAATAGAGGGGCAATTCCTGTTTCATCTGAGGGATCCGAGGGCAAACTTACCACTACCAGCCCCTGCGGACACATGCTACTGCTCAAGGTAGTCACTGTGCGAGGGAAGATAGCCCACAGAGACCCACTGCCCCTTCTCAAAAGAACAGCTTACACTAAGATCTATTTAACTCTCAAGAAGGGTATCAGTTATGTGATCTTCGCAAATGAAAGGGAGCCTAAAACCAGTACCAGCCTAGTCCATTCTGTCACAGAAACACTTTGTGGAGGCCCTGGCTCTACCCCTTACTGAAGGAAGGCCTTTTGTATCACTTAGTCTCAGCTTCACTTTCCTCCATGAGAGGAGGCAATAATTCCCCTGTCATAGATGGGTGTGAAAATAAAACAGTCCATGTAACAAAGGCCTAGAAATGTTCAGGACAAAGAATGCCTACCAACGTCATTTTCTTCCCTACCCCCTTGCTCAGTACCATTCAGTGCTCTAAGTTTATAAACACACCACTAAAAAAATTTGGTCTCATAGACCTTTTGCAATTTCTCTCTGACACTGCAAAGTGAAATTCGTATGTATGTGTTAAGATACACTTTATTGTACTGTAGTGATTGTATTGGGAGGAAATTTTTTTGAAAACCCTTCAGTTTTCACATAGATGGAGGTAAAATCAACACAAAAGGACCAAAAGGAGCATGGCCTCACCTTTTACTAAATGTAAAGCCTTGGACAAGTTTAGTTTAGTAGAAGTCTTCACTCAATCCCAGCTTTTAAAACAGCAGCAACAACAATAAACATCTCCGCCACTAGACTGTAAACTCCTCGAGGGTTGAGATCTCATTTATTTAACTTTTCTATTAACATCCCTAGTCAACTGGCCTTCACATATCAGGAAGATAAGCTGCAATAGCTTGAAGGGCTTATCAACAGAAGGGCTGACAAGTCTGCTAAATTGTTATGAAATGAAAAATATAAAAATCAAAGTAGAAAGAGGTTGGACCCACTAACAAGTAGAGTCACAATTTTCAAAATATTTTAATTATTTTTTTAAATTTATTGGCCAGAGACAGATCTAACAAGTCTAGCTCTATGATTCCATGATCTCTGTCAAGTTACTTTTTCTTTCTACACTTCAGTTTCCTTACCCACATACGGATGTGAGTTTTCCAAAACCCCTTACAGCTCTAAAATTAGATGTCCAAATTTCTACACACCTGTGCCAAATCTAAGACAAAGACACACTGCTAGGCACTGTAAGAGACAGGAGAGAGAAGAAACCAGAGCTGCCCTTCAATGAACTCATGGATTATTAAACAATAAAAACAGGAGCACAAATAGCAGTGATTCAAGGCAGAAAGCTGCGGAGACAAGGACTGGCTTTTGGAGGGGCGACATTTGTTCCCGCTTCAATGTAGCAAATACGAAGCACCTGTCATGCCAGGCACTGTGTCTTAGCACAAAAATAACACAACTATGGCCAAGACAAACAGAGTCCTGCCCTCACAGTGCCTAAAGGTTGGCTGGCAGGAGGTAGACATTTGGAGAAGGGGGAGGAATTCCCAGCAGACGACCTATTGAGCAAAAACAGGAAAGCAGAGCATCACAAAGCAAATAGGAATGAGTCCATAGCTCTGTTTGCAAGGTAATGATGGTACAGTGGAGTGGGATGAGAAAAGGTAGAAATAGAGGCAGCTGATATGAAGACCCTGAAATGCCAAGCTATGGAGTCTAGATTTTAATTGTTCCAACAAAATAACCTCACAACTCTAAGTGACTGACTATACATTAAAACTTAACAGAGTCACCTATTTTGTATCCAAATTATACACTGCCTTTCTGTAGCAAAAAGGAAGATGTTTGAAAGAAAACTGCCAAAAGAAGTAATTTAAATAAATTTATTTGTGAAAGCGAAACTTCTGAACATCAGGTACAGTCTGATCCACAATGTCATAACTCATTCTTGGGAGTACTCTTATGCAGTTTGGAAGAGAAATTCCATGTGGAGCATCAGCGGAACATTTATCAAACTTCATAAAGCCATGAAACCTCAGTATTACACAATACATAATGACAAGGATACAGTAATAAAAATACAATATCAAATACTACTTTGTGAGTTACAAACTACAATATAAACAATTTAGGCCCTTTTTTAAAAAATGAAAAAATATTTCTATTACAGCCTCATTTCAAGCATTTTCTGCTAGATACAGCTTTATATAATTTTACTCACAATAGATAGCAAAAGAATGTTTTCATAAGTATCTGTAGGTAAAATATATTACTTGCTTAAGGTTTACACTCTGAAGTATACTTTGACACATATGAGTTCAGGTAAGAGAATGAAACTGTGCTGTGGCAAAATCCTGGCTGATGATCAAGATTTGGATAGCTTTCCTATTAAGTTAAAAAAATTTACATCACTGAAAAAAGAAGCAAGGACAAGCAACATCATTCTTTCTCAACGAAGCAGTCTAATTCCAGGGAATGGGTTTTCCATTTTGAATTCAAAGTGTGTGGTCCCAAAGTTGAATTCTTTCAAATCCAACGAGCTGCCTGCCACTGGGAGGCAACAGCAATAACGAAGCAAGTTGGGAGGAAAGTGTTAACTGAACTACAGAGATGGTCACTGATAAAACAAGTTCCTAGAAATCCTCCGGCCCACCCAGAGGTGAAGGGCAGCCAGAACTATCAACAGAAAAGAA